ATTGGACCCACCTTCACTTCCTGGCCCGAGCACTGCCCTACTCTCTCCACCACGCCTCTCACCTCCTTCTGGCTGGAGTCGTCCAAGTCCCGGACCCGGAGCTCCGCCATCTTTACGGGACGCGTCACCTTTACTCCTTCCGCGTCTCCGACCACTTCCCTGATCCGCTAGACCAAGATTTCCGCCTTGTCCTGCGCATTATCACCGGGAATTTCCAGTATTAACGCGCCCGTGAGCCCCCGTCTAGGCCTCAACCCGATGCCGATATCCTCGAGCTTTATCTTGGACCTAACTGTCCGCATTCCCTCTTCATACGTTTCTTTAGGGAATGTCAGGGATACCGCCGCTGTCCTCGGAGCCTTCCTCTTCTTCTTATCGCTCCGGGCCATTGCATTCCGCCGCGTCCTCCCCTTTGCCTTCGCCTTTGGCATCCATCCCCGCCTTGGGCGCTTGCTTCGGACCCAAAGTCGCTGGTGCCGGTTGAGAGGCCGACTTGGGGCTTTTGCCCTTTCTCCCTTTTTAACCACTTCCGTCCAGGGAGTGCCGTCCCTGTCCGGTAGTGGCCTCTCCTTAGGCTGCCTCTGCGGTAGAGGTTGCGTCGCACTTATCGCTTCCGACGACTTTTCCCTCGCCGCTGAGACCATGGCCTTTCCTTTGGCGCTGGATGCCCTGATGGAGCTTGATCTTCCCGTAAGTCCCATCCTCGCGTCTCTTTGATCAGTCTTGCGAGTGGCTTTTCCTCTCGTGGCTTCTTTTACTACCGTCATACTCGTAATGGTTGGTAGCTTCTTTTCCTCCTTACCTGTCGGAGTCTTCGCTGGTTCCTGCGGTTTGCCTTTGTACGAATCCTTGGCAGCGCCTGTGCCTGGCAATGCTGCCATGGCGCCCGTGCATCTTGCAGCAAGGTTCTCCAGATTTCTCTTTACTTCCTGTGGATCCCCTGTGATTACTTCTTTGATGGAGACATCCTCCATCTCGCGTCTCACGTTTTCCATTGCCACATCCAGTGGCGGCTCCTCCAGGCGCTTGCTGGTCCCCCTTACCTTGGGCCTAAGGACCGGGAACTCCTCTCTGTCTAGTGGCAGTGGCGCGTTCTTCGCATCTGTGAACGTCTCCTGTGTTGGGGACTCTACCATCATCTAATCCCCAGCATCTGCTTCCTCTGGGTAGGTCTTATTTGTCTTGCGCGATCGGCCTTCTCTCTTCTTCTCCTGCTTTTGCAGCTTCGAGTTGAGCTCGTGGATTTTAAACTCGAGAGACCTAATTTTCTCCCTGAGCCCATCCATCTCGGCCTTTTCCCTTCTGTCCTCCGGCGTTGTGGCCTTTGACATGAGTGCAGCCGCCGCGGCTCTCATCCCGTTCGTGCTCAACTTGAGCTGCCTCACGAACGTTCCTTTGAGGTTCTTCGAACCTCTCGCAACTTTATCCACTACGTTTATAAAGTTTAACATATCCGCCCCAATCTGCTCGACGGACATCTCCATTTGCTTCACCAGTTCTCTCTCCGGCGTTACATCACGGGGAAGAACTTTAGGGTCCAAAACCCTTTTTAGAAGTTTCTTCTCCGCTTGGAGCTTCTTTATTTCGCGCTTATGTTCTTGTTTTTTGCGCTTATAGAGCCCCTCGAAGGTCGTTGGGGGCCTGCCCCTCTTGCGCTTCCCCTTTTCCGTAGCTTCGGTGAAGGAGCTGTCACTTGCAGACTCTTGGTCGGAGTCCGCGTCGCATTTCTTCACTTCCACCTCGGTGTCCGAGCCGTCAATCGAGACTACCGGTGATGTTTGCCGCCTGGGTCTCGCCTTGACCCCCGTCGACTTCTGACCAGTCTTGGTCGAAGCCGGACTCGGCTTGTACGTCTTCTTCTTGTCCGTGGCTGACCCGCTGGGGCCATCCAGGTCCATCGCCTCTGCACTCGCCGCACTCGTCTGTGCGCCCTCCTCCATCCTCCTAAGCACAATGGTGGGTTTTTTTGTATTTGTATTTGTGGAAGACAGCAGTGAATTGTACGACTGGTTCGCCCATCATGGGACCCCCACCGCAGTGGGGGATCTATCCCCAGTATAACAGTACCCTAATTATGGGCCGGGAAGCGGAGAGGCCGCTTGTCGGGGGAGCCACCCCTATCCCGACCAGTGATTCTAATAAAAGTATCCCTGGAGACGGCCAGGCCCACCATGATGCTAAAGATTTAGCCTCACCCGCGAAGAGGAGCGCGCACCGACCCGATCGGCCGCATACTCCCCCCCAGGGCTAGAGGTTGTAAGGGAATCTCCCCCCTCACAGGGTATGAGAGAACGCTGGCTATGCGCCCCTCCATACCCGCGCCCTGCATGCCGGCTTCAACTCCCTGATAGGCTCCAGACGGACGAGACGGGAGCGGTTTTCCCACATTAAACGTGCCACTTCCTGCGGACTTTGCCAGTAAACTGGACTTACGGTCCCGCCTAGTCCGTGGCAGAGGTCAGGTACAGACGTCACCGCTCGTCCCCGGTCGGGGGGTTTACTACTCCCCCCTTGGTTAGTCTCAGGGAAATATCCACCGGCAGCCGACCGCGGCCCATTCACACACCACGCACACAGCCGATCCTCCGCCCTCCACGACCAGCCCCGTACGCCAGGCCGCATGCCCCAGCAGCGGGACGTCGGCCCCAGACGCAGGGACTGACCGCTTCGTCACGGAGGATCGGGTGTTGGCCGGCAGACTTGCCGACCAACTCCTCGGACCACCGGGCCCCGCCTGTGAATAAGTCCCAGCGGCCCCGGCGGTCTCCGGGCGATCGGGCCCCGCCTCGGAATACGTCCGAGCGGCCCCGATCCCCGTCTATCTTCCGGTCCACTCCGCGGATCCTGGGTACCAGTTTACCGCGGAGGTCCGGCCCCTCCCCCTGGAAGAAACGGACCACGTCCGAGTCAACCGCGGGGAGGCCACGACTTCCGGCCCACCCTTCGGTCGGGACCACGTACCGTTGTGCCTCCGGGGTCCGGCTCTCCCCCGCCAGCGAGCACGTCCACGACGAGCCCACTGACGGAGGAGCTCCCCTTGCCACCGCCTCCTGCCGGAACACCGGCGTGCAATGGAGACGGTGGCCTCCCCCCGAATCCCAGCCGCCTGCCGGAACACCGGCGTGCAATGGCAACTGGGATTCCTGCCCCCTCGCCCGGGTTCCCCCCGATCCCTGCCGGAACACCGGCGTGCAATGGAATCGAGGGGGAGACGACCCGGTCCGGTGGGTGGAGCAAGCTCCCCCCTATCGGCCCCGGAAGCCGAAGGTTTGAAGTCGGGGTACCTCATCCCCTACCGGCGAGTGGTCTCGGTTCTGCCTCGACATGACCGTCGAGGCAGCCGAGACCGGAGTCGCCGGGCTCCATACCCCCCCCCCCATAAACTGGAGGGAGGGGTGGTACGCTCTTGGTCAGCGGACGCCCAGGCTATGGAACCGCCGGAGCCTGAAGCGGCACACAGACGGTTCCAGGCCGAACGCCCGCCTAAGCTCCCCCACCACGACAAGGTGGCGCACCACGGGGGAGATGACCTCGAAACTAACGCAATATACGCAAACTTCGTACTTAACAAAGGCCGGTCTATAAAGACACTCGGAGTAACGTGGCACGCGCAAAAAGACGAAATACGTTATTCAGTCAAACCCGTGAAAATATCAACGAGAATCACAAAACGGATTTTACTAGCAGATATTGCGAAGATCTTCGATCCGTTAGGTTTGATAGGTCCCATCATATTATACGCGAAGAGAATCAGGCAAGACGTATGGCGGCAACAATTAAATTGGGATGAGTCCGTTCCGCAAAATATATACACGGTATGGTTAGAATTCGTTCGCCAGCTCGAAGTAATAAATCAAATGGTAATTATTTACAATAGATTAGGACACCCACCTCCAATAACGTTGGGCTTGACATATATTATAGAGGTCACCCTCCTGAGTGACCTGCAAAAGATTTTAACCTGCGGACGTTGTGTGTTAAAAAGTTATTAAAAAAACAATGTAATTTTAACCAATATATGTAACCAAAAACAATAATTAACCAATTATATGTAATTTTAGACACAAATATTAAAAATTTTGAAAAATGTTTTAAACAAAAGTTGTAGATCTCTTTAAAATATACATTTTATGTCCTATTCATTTTTACTATACGAGTGACAGTTTTTGATAAAAATGATGGACTCTAAATCCTATATCTGTCCTCTCATCTAAGCATGTGCTTTGTAGTACATAGACGATTCCATATGGATTTGCGACTTTTCACATGAAGCGAGATCCACTCCACACCTCGAACATAGTTTGGGTTAGGTTATATCTTAACAAAGTGTAGCCCCCCCCGCAGGGGGGGCGGAACACACTGTCTCCACGCATGTACTTCCGTTGTACTGTTCCACATGGGTTTGCGACTTTCCACGTGAAGCGAGATCCACTCCACACCTCGGACATAGTTTGGGTAGGGTTATATTTTAACGAGGTGGAGCCCCCCCCGCAGGGGGGGCGGAACATACTGTCTCCATGCATGTACTTCCATGACGTACGACAGATGGAGATGGAAGGAGGGATATAAGATTTAGAGTCCATCATTTTTTCGAAAACTATTATTCGCACAGTAAAAATGAATAGAACATAAAATGTATATTTCAAAGAGATCTACAAATTTTGTTTAAAACATTTTTCAAAATTTTTAATATTTGTGTCTGAAAATTACATATAATTGGTCGACATGGTTTTTTAAATAACTTTTTAACACACAACGTCCGCAGGCTAAAATCTTTTGCAGGTCACTCAGGTGGGTGACCTCTATAATATATGTCAAGCTCAAGGTTATTGGAGGTGGGTGTCCTAATCTAAATAATTACCAATCAAATTTCGTTTGAACGAAAAATATTAATTGACGGTTATCGAGAAATACAATTACACGGATTCTGCGATGCAAGTAGTATAGGATACGGCGCGTGTCTGTACGTGAGGTCAAGCAGGAAAGACAACCAGGGTAAAATGGTCAAGTTATTATGCGCCAAATCACGTGTGGCTCCACTGAAAACCGTCACCATATCTCGACTTGAGCTCTGTGGCGCGTTGTTATTAGCACGACTATGTCACAAGGTCAATAATGCATTAAACATACAACCCAGTAGAGTGGTATTATGGTGCGATTCGACAGTCGTCTTACACTGGTTGAAAACAGAGCCACATTTACTGAATAATTTCGTAGCAAACCGTGTTGCAATAGTGCAAAAGTTAACGGAACATAGCGAATGGCGACATGTTAGGTCCGAAGTTAATCCAGCTGACGCGATATCAAGGGGTCAGTTGCCACAGGCATTTTTACAGAATCGGATCTGGTTCAACGAACCTGAATGGTTAGGCAAAGACGAAAATCAATGGCCGGTTAAACTGATACAGCTTAAAGAAATACCAGAAATGAGGAAAAATATTTGTGCGATAGCAATATCTGACAGTACCGAAATAATAAACAGATACTCTTCTTATCGCAAACTAAATAGAGTCGTTGCTTATTGCCGACGTATGAGACCTGCTAATACACATAAAGGCGCGTTAAAGTCAATCGAACTTGACGAAGCGGAAATATGTATCTTAAAACTCGTTCAAGCCAATAGATTTCCCGAAGAGATTCAGATCCTTAAAAAAGAACGTGTCGACGTGAAGGGTAATATTGCTAATCTAAATCCATTCATGGACAATCACGGTTTAATTCGTGTCGGGGGACGTCTACGAAATTCAAAACTGACGTTAACACAGAAACATCCGATACTGATCCCAAACCGACATAGTTTAATCGAGAGTCTTATCCGCGAGACGCACGAACGACATCATCATTCCGGTGTTCAAACAACCCTTTATATATTGCGACAAAAATATTGGGTCATAAACGGCAGGGAGCAAGTACGAAAGATCATACGCAGGTGTATGCGTTGCTTCAGGTTCAATCCCGGTACCGTTGAGTATAAAATGGGAAATTTACCATCGACGCGTGTATGCGAAGCAACGCCATTCACGAGTACTGGCATAGATTTTTGCGGCCCCTTTTTTATAAAAGAAAAAAATACCGTAATCGGGCGCGAATTAAAGTTTAT